TCTAAGATTTATCATTTATTGCAAGAACGGTCAGCTGACCCTCTCCTTAAAGTTAAGGGCTACTGGGCCCAGGACGTGGCATTGGACATATCTTCAGTTGAATGGGATTCATGTTTTCAAAATGTTAATACTATGTATAAAGAAACAGGCAGTAGATTTATTCAACTTAAGATAATCCATAAGTGACATCGAACACCGCAACAATTGTATAAATGGAACGTGGCCTCTACGGACGAATGTTGGAGATGTGATAATCAAAATGCTTCAATTTTACATATCTTATGGAGCTGTTCGGCACTTTGGGATTGGTGGGAAAACATAATGGAGGTAATTTTCAGTGTTTTAAAAAGGAGATTTGGTATCTCACCAAAACTGTCCATACTTGGTATAACCACAGAACTTTCTGATGGAGATTTTTCCAGGTATACAAAAAGATGGATTATTCTGGCTCTTACTACGGCCAAACGGGTCCTGCTAAGACATTGGCGGAAAAAGAACCCCCCTCCCTATGAAGAGTGGCTAATGGCAATGGCTAAGTTGGCGTCTTATGAAAAAGTGACTTATGGTTTATTAGACAAATTGCATCAATACGATTGTATTTGGTCCCCCTTTACAAGCTGGCTTTCTCTAACTTGAAGAACAGAGGAGTAATGACAGAGTGGTGGTGTGGGGATTGGTGTGTTTTTTGGGGTTATTTTTTTGTTTGTTTTGTTTTGTTTTTTAAATTATTTATTTATGTATTTATCTTTAAGTTCTGTTATTGAAGTTTAAAATGAAATAAATAAAAAAAAAATTTATGATAAAAAAAAATACACGCAAACATGAATTAATTTATAAAAATATTTAACTTTGTATTAATTCCCCTATTTATTTACATCCTTGTGTAATTTTCATTTTTTTCACCATTTTTATTTAATAATTTTGGCAATTTACATGGATTTATGTTGATTTTTTGTTACTGTATTTCTTTCCATTTGCCAAATTATGCAAATTATGAGTAAGTGGATGAAGAGCATATGTAATGGGGTCCTTTCTTTCTTTACGGTATCAGAAGAATAGCAGTACTAATGTTTATTTATGTGATTTGTATTTATGTGATGTGATCTGTGATTTTGTCATTAAACAAACAAACAAACAAACAAAGCTTCCTCACTGCACTCTGGACTTTAAATGCATAAACAATGTTCTGAAAGCTCTTCAGCTGATGATCAAATAAAAATATTTTAGCCGTTTAAGACACTTGTGCTCAATCATGTGGGTGAGACATTAAAATAATAAAACCTTTATTCTATTGAGCCAATGAATATGCTCAAGAGATTTACTGCAAGGAGTGTGTTTCTGCTAATGGACGAGCCAAATAGACGCAAAAACAGGAGCCCACTTCGACCATGATTGGTCATGATATGTCCTGTAGGTGGCACTACAGAGCTTGGGATCCTACATGTGTTGAATATACTGTCACAACAGTGGATACCTTTGCTGTAAGCCACCTTGCATAAATAAAGACACTGCCCTTTCCCCCATGTTCTTTTATGTGATACTTGGTTTTGTTATGAAAACAAAAAACATGAAATAAATCCGTCAGTGTAGCTATTTGGTTCTGTGATGCCATTAAACAGTCCAGAAGTTTGTACCAGCAAATGTATCTGGGACGTAGTCTTTGACTTCAATGTAGACGAACACAGCTGGCAGAATCAGAGACTGGTTTTTCTCATTCCTCAAGCCGATGTAACGATAACCTGCAGAGTAACAGATGCAACAGTCATCTGGGTCATGTAGACAGATAAATATTTAATGCAATGCACAAAACCCCGGCAATAAAGTTAGTTGGCAGTGAGAAAAGCTAAGTGTTTTCAGACCAAGCATGAGTAAAGTCAAACTACACAGAAAAAAACTTATTTAGTTCACATTGTTTGTGCCTCTGCAACCTGATCACACAACATGAAGTCTGAACATAAAAGTCAGGATGTTTCCCAGGAGGTAAGGTAAGTAGAAAAATCTAGAGCCCCAAAATATGATCAATGACACAAACATCAACGTCTGTACAGTCTCCACAAGCACGAAAAGCCAAAGAAATATTTATGTATGAATCTTTCGTGATAGGTGCCGTAAAACATCTACACATATAAAAAAATGCTGATTTTTATTCTCTGTGACTTTTATTTTATCATCAGTTCATTTCCTGGGAGTTTGGACAGTTATTGTCTGCTAAGCTTTATGACATAGTGCTGTCTTTGTACAAGGAAAACACAATAAACTCCATAAGAAACATGAAGAAGAAAAACTGCAATACAAACTAGTGAACCCATAGAAACTCAAGCACACTCAAAGAAATCTCTAAGAGGTGTAGTTAGTAATAGCAGTCAGCACTAAAGATACAAAAAGGTCCGTATCTGATAGATAAATACTTAAACATTTAACACCAGGGTGAGAATCAAAGGTTGAAATGAATGAATACCTGGCCTAATGGCAGACACCGGAATAATTCGATGACCAATAAACTTCCCTCCTTCTTCAAAGGCACCAATTCTCAGTGAGGCCAGGGTAGGAAGAATCACCTGTGAAAAGATTTGTCACAGTCACACTGTTAATAGGCTAATTAGTATGCACAGGTAAGACATCTGACTCCCTGTAACGCACCTTTTTGAACACAATCGGCTCTTCGTCCCACACTGGATTGACGGCATTGTTGTTCTGAGACGTTTTGGTCTTCAGAGCTTTCCGCCGAGTGTCTGCAGGGAGTCCGAACATCTCCACCTCCACATACACCCCCACTCTCCGCTCAGTCAGGAACTGGCCTGAAATGACCTGAAACACAGAGGATTCACTTGCATTTGTTTAAACATATACAGGAAGATACAACAAGAGTTATACCAATAGAGACTGTTTAAATAAGAAAGCACTGTGAATATACCTTCACAGAGAGGGTGTTAGCTACAATGCCATCTACTGTGTTTTCCGTAAAAGGGTCAAAGTGTTTGTCTGGGCGCCTCATGAACTCAGGCTTCAACCTGTAGCCGCTCCGACCGTTGTACTCGAACATAAAGAGATTCAGCTGCATGGACAAATCTGCAACAGAAAATTGAAGTTTAGCATCACAAAGGCTTAAAGCACCAGTTTGAGTTTGAGCTGTACAGCTGCACTCTGGTTGTTGCACAAAAGAGCAGCAAAGTGGAATGTGTTATTTCGGGGAATCAGTGGCTTCTGAAGTACATTTCCAGCTGATCTGACTCTAAACAAGGGTAAGTGGTTAACAAATGAGTACATGCAAAGCCTGGATAGCCTTGGAAAGACTATCTCCCTTAATTTAAAATGCACTAAAAAGGGGGGGAAATCTTGAGTGCTTTCTTTTACTAAGGCAGAAGCATTATAAGGCAGAGACATGGCACTCAAAAGAAACCTAAATGGGAGAATTCTGCAATTCCAAAAATGGCATTTCCTCTAAAAAGTCAATAATGACATTTCTTCATGACAGTCAACGGTGGCACATAAAAGTCGCAATCTTCCAGTGCACAGTAGAGGTTTAATGTGGATTAGCACAGCAATTGTTCAAGATCTCTGTAGGGATGAGTCAGAGATTAACTGTTATGTTCGTGGCTCCATTTATTCAGATTAGTCTTTTAACATGGAATTGGCCAATGGGCTTTCCATGATAGGAGACTTGCTTGTGGGAGGACTTTTATTAAAGGTCCTTAAATGCACCTTTTACAAAAAAAATAAGAAAAAGAAAAAATAGTTTACCAATAGTTTGGTAGTTTAGAGCCACCAGTTGACATCCTGCGTTCCAGAAGAGTTGAGGCATAAAATTTGATGAATCCACTCTGGTTCCTTTTGGGTAGATACGACTCAGCTGAGATTTATTATATCTGGTTAACAGAAGGTTAAGGACCATTATTTCATTAGTAGTGCAAACATATAGATTCATGTAAAATGTATTGTACTGAAACTGCTGGTATAGAAGCTGATGAAGTGAAAACTTTATCAGGACTTACTGAGTTACAAAGATTTCTGGAGGTTAACAGAAAAAAAGGGAGCAAAAGTGAGAAATCAATGAAAAATAAAGTGATGGTGCCTTGGTGTGATGTAACTGCGGTAACTGTTGCCAAGGATACTCTACAAACTCCACTGGTGACTTTGTGAGATGCTCCAACGCTTTGGTCTCCACAAAAGACGACATGTGGTAACAGCGGGCTGCCTCTACACAAACACGCACAAAAACGAGAACACACGCATTTCTGAGCAATTAGTTTGGTTTCAAACTTCCTGCATCTACAGAAAGTTAACAAATTGAAGGGATTGGATGAAGCCATTGGTCTCTATGTGGGGATCTGGTGGCTCAGTTATTTTGTGGGGGCCACTTTACTGACACGTTTTTGCTCTTTTAGAGGGACGTGTCAGTGTAAGTGTCTGAGTAATTACCTTTATCCTGCAATTAAAGGTGCCTCTTCCAAGAGGACAAAGTGTTCACTGAATGGTTTGATGAGAATTAATATGATGTAAATCCTGTGCTATGAGCTTCACAGTCACCAGATTTTAATCAAACTGATAAATTATAGGAGGACTGAGGTATTAAGTGTTGTGATTGTGTATAGATGCGATTGCAGAGCTTTGCAGATACGAGCTGCAGGTCTGTAGCAACCACAGGGCAGTGTCAAAATATGTGGTACAACCATAAATATTGCCTACTTTTGCTTATGACTGGCTGGCTAGTTCACAGAGAGAAAGACGTTTTGTTTGATTTTTTTAAAAAAGTTTTTATATTATATTATGGCAATTTGTTTCTCCCTATGAGGGACTGTTTTCAACAGATTCATCCATGCGTTTTATTACTGGCATCAAGCTACGCACTGGTAGCTCAGTTTTATTCACACAGCAGTTACATTTTATATTGTAAAGAAAAACATCAGTATCTACAAGAAAAGCCTACAATTAGATGGCCCCCTGTGAGCAAGCACCTGGCAACAGTGGGAGGGAAAAAGTCCTTTTTAACAGGAAGAAACCTGTGGCAGAACCCAGCTCAGGGAGGCGAGAAAAGAGAAGAGATAAAATAGAAAGAATGAAAAGAGGAGACAGACAAAGAGAAAAGAAGGAAGAATTCCCACAATCACTCTCTCTGCACAGCCACAGACCCACACGCATAAACAACAACATGGGACAGTGAATCCTGATTTACACAACTCTCTCCACCACCATCGCCTAAACACCAAATGAGGAATCTTCTGGGAATTATGTTGTTCCATTCTTCCAGTAGAGTTTCAGAGACTTGAAAGATCTACAACCCAGTTGGATCAGATATTTAGGGGTTTTCAATTTGCTAGCTCCCTATGCCAAACTCACAACATGAGCATAGTGCAGGTAACTATGGGCTGGGATCATGTGACCTGCCTATTGCAAGCTCTTCTTAGGTTGAATTCAAGCAGTCAAAACACATTTGGCCCTGAATATCTCCTGCTGTGTGTAAAACATTGATCTGATCCCCTCTTCACACATTATCATCTATTAAAACTGATTAAGTCACTTTGTGTTGAGTTTTCCTTTCATTTGTCACCTGACTTTACTTTAGATACCAATTTTAATTAAAAAAATCTCTCTCAGTTAATCTCACACCCTATTTCGTGAACACAGTGAAGGCCAAACTTATGCATTATATCATTTATATTGACTTACAGTGGATATCACTACAAAATAACAGATCT